CTCTGTGTAATTCCTGGAAAGCCGTCAGTTGACCACATCATCACCGTGATATTGGGGTCTACAACACTTACTGCATCCAAGACAGTAAGGAACTGGGGATTGTTTAAAGACCAACTGAGCTTTTCCACCAATATTTATCTTTGTGTATTGCACACATTTATTTTCAGAAAAATCCTTTTTTTGTGTGTTGGTGGCCTTACAGAAATCATTTTATTTAAAAAATTAAAAAAATAAATACAAATAATAATAATAAACTCTCTGTCTTGTGATACAATAATTTCTAGGCATGCCTTATTCACCCCTGCCATAAGGTAAGTAAATTACATAAACTCAGCATCTAAAGACTTTCGGTGGAAAACAATCCAGTTTAGTAGCATTTATTTTAGTACATGACTGTCTGATAAGAAACTACTGTATGATCCTCTATATATATTACCCATTATGAATTCCCAAGTCCTCTTCCTTAAAATAGTTAGCCTACATGAAAGACATCACCAGACTCAAAACGTGAAACAAAGTACAGACAGTATATGTCAGCAATACAATTATGAATGCTGATATATTTACATGGTAAAAATTAAATAATATTGTCTATAGACCATTTCACAAGATGTAAACAACACTGGTCCAGAAGCACTTCCTGTTTCAGTTTTTTAACACTACATAAAAGCTGGGATAAAATACAACCAACAGAACATTTAAAACTGAATCAAAAAGTTAAACAAACATCTTTAAGATGTTTTCTTTACATGTGAAATAAAGAAAACAGTTACAAACTGAAACAGGAAGTGCTTCTGGACCAGTGTTGTTTACATCTTTTGAAATGGTCTATACCCTTGTAGCCTTATAATATACTAGCCTTGTAATACCGCCCCTCCCTATACGCAGAGTAGGCTATGCAGCCTGAGTAGGACACAAACTACCAAGGGGGCACCATCTTGTCCCAACTGAGGAGCTGACAAGTGGGAATGCCTGGCTGGTTTTTGATATTCAAGGCTTGGGTCATTGGTCATTCATAATCTGATTCAAATTCATTTGGTCTAATAGTCTAACTATTATACATTTACTCAAATAAACTGAAACTGCTTTAGACTGTCACTCAATAATACAATATGTACACCTATTCTACTATTAAAGGAATAGTTCTGTCATAATTTCCAGTATGAAATGCACAGCAGCAGCATCAAAACATCTTGGACTGTTTATTCCTATTGTGTCCATTAGATGGCAGCACCATCGTGTTCGCAAAATCAACAAGGATTTTTTTTTTTTTTTTACTTTTCCTCTTGTTGTTTAGATATTCGATTTGTCTTACATTTTGATTTTGTCTACATAATGGTTTCCAAAGGTTTGGGTGGAGGACTATTATTATTATTATTCAACTTAAATAAGGCTCTCAAGTTTTGAAGGGGGTGTCATTAATAATATTATTAGCGTTTATGTTGTTATTAATAATTGCTCAGACTTGCAGAAGAAAAAAATGTCACTGACAATTCAACCAAATACAAAGTATTTATTCAATTTCAGAGAGAGAGGGAGAGAGAGATTATGACTGGTGTTGTTTAATATAAGTTTTTGTTTCCTTGTTGGACTGCTTTATGGGCCAACCCTTTTCACCACCCTCTCTGGATCAGCATCCTCTAACCTGGCCTTATTAGGGGGCTTTACTCTCGGGGCGAATGAGAGGATGCTTAATTGCTTTTTACCTGACATCTTTGAAAGAGATGCAATGATTAAAAGTCAACTATAACATCAACAATGCAATACTCTTTAATTTATTTAGTGCTAATAAAATTATTAAGCCTATTTGGACAGAGAGATGTTTATAATGTGATTTATGTCAGTCATCGTGTGATAAGCAAAATATGACTCAGACTACTTGTTGTGAGCAGGTGTTGTCAGTGAACAAGCTGTAGCCTAAAACTGTGGGCAGACACTCATGAAAAACTGTTGCTAATTATCTAACATTCTCTAACTGCAGTCAAGATGTCATTGTTTGTGTCAAACAAGTTGTGAATTTGTTGTAACATTAAAACAGGAGATCATGACTTACTCTGTGCTCAAAGTGATGCTCGAAACTCCAGTGCTTTCCTCTGTGGGTGAATGAAACTTTCGGAAGATGTTGTAGCAGAATCATGTGAACAATTCCAGGATATGCTTTTCAATCAGGTTCAACTAAGATCACCCGGAAGTTGAAGCCTCGCGGGAGCCGCCTTGTAGTTTGACTTCCATTCATTTTGGCGTCACTTTGACGGCGAATAGCTTTACATCTTAGGCGTCCAAAGACTCAATTTTTCTAAAGAAACGGGGAAATGTATAAAAGGCTCCTTACTACCTTGTATCTTACATTATGGCTCCGTAGAAGCAGTTTTTGTAAAAAATAGGCTAGCGATTGCGTCATAACGAATCGAGTTTCCAGGACGAGCAACGAGTCCGAATTCAGCTGTGTAAAGAAACGTGTAATTCGTTCCTAAATGAATCAGTGATTTGAACGAATCGGTTGATTAAATGATTCATTGGCTCACACATAATATTAGCCTGGTTCAACCAGACTCTAGTTCATTTCATTTACTGAAGTAAAATGAAATTGAGAGGAAGTGCGTAGGAGAGCGCAGCCAGGCTAACATAATATAGCCTACAACAGAATATTCAGAAGAATACCATTCTTGGTCGTAAATATTGCTTAATTGCTATAGACTAACATAAAATGTAATTTTTAATATAAAATGTATAAAACGTTGTTGAATGTCCCTAAAAGGAGGTTTTGTCAGATGTATTGCACCAATTTCCCCCCCTAAATAAATGACACACACACACACACACACAAAATTAAATAAAACTACCCATAAATATGGCATGTACCGCCAGCCAGTCTTGCTGTTGTCCTTCACCCACTGCCTCAGTGGGCCAGATATTTAGTGGTTTAATTACCAAGGTTGGTGGGCATTTTCACCTTGCTGCTCCTGGGGAAGCATAGAAAATGCAAAACTGAAAACACTTTAGTTTCACATACCTCTATTCCAGATGTCTTGTGGTTGAGCTGCACACTAATGATCTAAAGGTTCATTCTGAGTTGTGCAGGATTGCAGGGCAATTCACCAAATTAATGTTTAATGAGGACATTTTGCAGTGAATTAATGTATTAATAGCAAGTTATTTTTGTTCTTATTCGTGTACCTCTGTGCTCCATGTGCTCTGTGATAAATGCTTTCCTGACTATTAAAAAACGAAATCTTCTGACACTACTTTTAGAAATAGCCCATCTGTGGTATCACTCTGCTTAATGAAACATGCCCAGAATATTTATTTGCATAAGATATCTGAGACAATTTTTAGCAGTTTCAGCAAAAAACTCTTTTCTGTATATGCTTGTGTGATAGGATGTCATTCCCTGCCTATTTAGATAAAGAGTACATTGTATAATATCCTGCGCATCAATTCATTATGTAACTCAAGGACAGTGTGCATTTATAATCTCACTTTCCTCAAATCATTTTGAATCCCTAAGTGAATTTTGAAGCAATCGCACTCTCTCTTTGTCTCTCTCCTTCTAGTCTGCCATTTCCTACATCAAGCTTTGCGAATGTAATTAAACCAAATTTAATCTAACAGGAAACGCGCTGGAGTTCATGAATAATTAATCAGCCTCGAATCAAAAAGGTGGCCGTGGCTTGTTTATTTGCTAGCACATACGCTAGTTTAAACACAATCACACACACATATTGCAGGATTGAAGCGTAGGATAAGCAGGGTTGACTTGTAGGTGCTGTGGTTTGAAACAACCTTTATTTTCTCCACTTTCATCAGATCAACTGAGGCATGTCAGGCCCACTAATAAATCTCACACTTTTTACGTAACCCAGACTTCAAATGGAGCAGTTTCCAAGTCTTAAAGTGCAACCTGAACTCTCAGTTTCCATTATTGACCTCGGGTTGTAAGTCTGTCACGTAGCATGGGAGTAAGTGGACTAGACATTGTGTTTTCTCCCTGCCAACTCTGTCCCAGTTTGAAGGGCCTCTATGGACATCTCCAAAGCTAGCACTTCATTTACTCAGCAAGGCAAACACAGACTACGTAGTAGAACAGAGGCAAGAGTCAAAAGTCAAGAGTTCCTTTAAAAAAATAAAAAGAGCATATACACATTTGGTCGCGCACACATCACCTCAAAACATACTGTATTTATTCAAATTTACAAAAAGGAAAAGGAAAAAATACAACAGAATAAATACATTTTAATACAAGCCATCGTGAGATCTCAGTACCAACAGGGACCACTTGGGGCCACAACAATGCAGTCCAATAGAAAGGCAGAAACCAGGATGAATGCAGTAAGTCCACACCCAGTTTACAGTTGACCTAATCTACCTGAAAAATATGGAATGACATGGGACATATTCAATTCTTTAAACTTACACAAGGTCACAACAGTTTGAGGCTGTCTACAGTGGACAAAGCAAAAGTTACAAATCCGTTTGGACTGAAATCGGAAGTAGTCCGAAAATTAACAGGTCGTCAGTTTACAGTTGGTGTCCATCTGTAAACTCCCGCAACATCCAGTGTAGACAGTATCAGCGATTATAATAGGCTCTTTTTGCTTATAATGTCGCACCGCTTGCTTCCGGTGTAGACACTGCGTTAGGGTGGTCCTGATCAAATAAGCTCCATTCTTGGGTTGTGGGTTTGTACTGCATAAAGCCCCCTGGTATTAGTGCGCATGATTGTGCCGTCATACAGTGGTTCAGGTTCAGTCCAGTCACAGTGAGTCCTCGTGGCCAAAAACAGTGTGATAAATCGGGATATCATTGCAGAGTGTGTCCTCAACCCGGAAAAGGGACTTCAAATATATTTATTTGGACCTTTCGCATTCAATTAAAAAACAAAAGTTCCGTTTGGGAAGAGCGACACATCGGAATCCGACATCGTATTGTAAATGGTTGGCTTTAGTCTGCTTCAGTCAATTCAATGTCTTCCAGTTATATCCAGTGGATTTCAATGTGGCACTAAATATATAATATTCTCCAGTTTTCATTTTATTATTCTATTTTTTTTTTTTTGCTTGAAGACTACAGTACTGTTACTTCACAATGGCATTCAGTGATATTTACATTTAAATGCATTTACATAGAACATTTTTTTCATGGTTTTTTTTTCCTCCAATAAAAAAACAACAACACCATTTGTATTCTATCTGAACATCATGTATAAAAGTGCGTTCTAGCTGAAGCAGACCTGTCAGAACTTGTAATTCACCTTCACGTTTTAAATGTGGGATTTATTTTGACAAGTAATGGTGGTTTGTGCACAGTTTTTGCTTTATTTTGCACAATTTTAACATCACTACATTTCAATTGCGTCTTTTTTCTTTTTCTTGAGCAACTTGAAATAAAAAAAATCTGTTCTTGGCAAAAATGTAAGTAATTTTGAACCCTGACAATGAGACATCCGCAAAGCAGAATTTCCATGCAGGGCTTAAAATTGATGCGTGTTTGTTTTTGTGTGAATGAGTAAACACAGAGAATCTTTGTGCAGACACTTATTCAGGACTTTACTGTAATATTCAGTGCTTTCTTTTGAATAATTCAGTTCTCTTGCTTTTGTGAATGTATAAACAATTTCTGTACAAACATTAATTTTCCTAATCCCTCGTGTGTGCTGCCGTAACTTTTCATCTATCGCTCCGGCCTTGCGTTTCTCATTCCCCCGTGTTGCCATTGTCTTGCTCACTGACACAGAAATCCAAGTTCAAATCTCTTACTTTCTCTGTTGTAATTAAATGTGATCTGGTATACAGTGAACTTTGCTTTTCGCTCACTGCCAAACACACTTCAGGAATGTCAAATGCTGGCTAAAGAAACGCACCTTTGACTGTGCTCACACATCCGCTTTTCAGCACTTATTGCTTCAAATTGCATCAATCACTCTCTCCACTGCCTCTGCTCTCTCAGTTCATTTTTCCTTGTCTTCCCTTATTACCTTTCCTCTTAGTCTCTCCCTCCTTACCCTTCACTTTTCATTATTCCAGCTCTTGTTGCCTTTTAATCACTGTCCCACCCAACCCCTCTCCTTCTCGCTCTCTTTCTCTCAGACATTCGCCTGCTCCTCGTCTCCAGACTGGTCCTCATTTTCTTTCCATTCCCTGTCCTTGTGCTGTTTGTGGGCCTCTATATCTCTTTCCTTATCTTCTTCATTCTCCTTCTCCCTTTCCCTAAAAAGCTGGGCTAATTTCTGGAATTGTGGGCCCCAATCTTCCAGACCTGCTCCCCACACCTCTTTCTCGGCGTCTTTGCTGCCTTCGCTGTCCAGGGAACTGAGGGATCCGGCGCGCGAGCCTGTGCCCTCCAGCCCGTACACCTGCACCGAGTCGTATGGAGGCTGCGAGGGGTCAAAGGTCACCTGAGCCAGACGGAGACGCAGGAACTCGCCGACCCTCAGGGCGAGAGAGTGAGCACCTCCGATGGGCGCCCCTCTTCCTGACGCCTCAGGTGCTGAGGGCCACGCTCCGCCATAACCCAGGATGCCCCCAAATGCTCCCCGGCCTTGGCCAGGGTACGGAAGCAGCTGGGGTGTCATATCCCTCCTGCCCAGCGGGTACCCGGTTATGCCCACCCGTTCGTGCCAGTCTCCTATGAACCCGCCACCCTCCGGATACATCCCGGTGCTCAGTGGAATGCTGGCCTCTCTTTCGGGCCTGCTCAGCACAAATCCGCTGCCCATCTCCAGCCCGCCCCGTCCCAGAGTTCCCGAGTAGTCCCTCTGCTGCTCCCCCTGCAGGATGGTGGCATAATTGCCACTGACAGATTGCATTTCTGTGCTTCCGTTAGGAGCGTCAACCACCCCAGGGTGGTTGGACTCGGCAGGCCCCGCGCCGCTCCTACTTAGGGAAAGACTGCCCCGCGAGGAGTGCCGTCCAGCTCGGGGGAGCGTGGAGGAGTCGCACATCCACCCTCCGGTGGTGCCCGTCCCAGCAACCGAACCGGAACGGGTCAATACCAGCTCTCGTTCGCGGGGGGCTGTGTCTGGCTGGACCTGTATGGGACGGGGAGGAGCAGGAGGGTTAGAGCGGGAGGTAAGAATGAGTTTATTCTTCTGTTATTCAACAGAGGGACGTGTAAGGAGAGAGGAAAGAGAAAGCAGAGAGATAATTCAGACACAATGAGCAGGTGAAAAAAGAGAAACAGCGATAACAGTGAAGTGAGACAGTTATTAGCAAGTAGGGGAAGGAAGTGACAAAGTTAGACAGATGGAGAAAGAGAAACGGTTGACAATAGCTGAAACAGGTTAATTGAGCTCTAAAAAGAGCTAACACTGCACTGTGAGATGAGGATGAGGAGAAAGAGAGACAGTGAGAGACAACTTGTGAAAACTTGTCTTTCATCATCAACCTGTTTGGCACCTACAACAAGCAAGCTAACTAGGGGTGTGCAAAACAACATATTTTCACACATGGGACATGTACGTACTCACTTTTAATAAAACTAAAGTGAGACTTTTTCAGTGGGAAAATATGTTTACCTTTTGCGTTTCATTGGATAAATGTGTATGTGTGTTAAATCAGACATTAAAATTCAGTGGATTGGGCTGAGATGTGCAACGGTATAAAACATAATGCAAGCTGCTTTCAATATTTCTGAATTCACGCTTTTCAGTTGTAACTGAATCTGTGGCTAACAACTGTCTCAGAGCAACACACATTATGAAATAAATATTAATATTAATTTCACAGTTGTTTCCAAGTCTCCGGTTCAGTGAATGTTTATTAGACTTATTACATTAATACTGATTCGATGCTGCCGGAGTGTGACTGAGAAGTGTGTCTATGAATTAAAATTAGCCATACATTTTTTTTTTTCTTAGGCGTTGTGTTTTCTAAAGCTGTTTAACTTATCCAGCCTTAAGCAGTGAGTGGTTTTCTTATTGTCTTGTCCTCTTATTGTTTGTTTAAAAGTCCATCAATTATTAAACAATAATGCATTATTTAGAGACATCTGGAGAATGAAATGAATAAATTCAATGTGCTACATTTGGGTTTTACTCCAAATGTTGGTTATTAAAGCAGCTTTGTGATTAATTTGATCATGGACTTCTTGCTTAAATAATTAAGATAGAAGTATGTTGCTTTACCCAGTCCTGATCCTGGCTTTGATTCTGACTCTGCTGGGCATCACTGCCTGCGTCATCCTCATTTTTCCTCGGCGTTCCTCCCTCAGATGTGGTAGCTCCGTCCTGAGATGCTGTCCCTTCTTTAGAGCCGTGACCGGCCTCTGATGCTGGCACGTAAATGGCCCCGGGCTCCAGAGGGCCAACCATAGCCGCCTGGTTTTGAATGACTAGAGAGTGGTCTGGTTGATTCCCGGGAAAGCGGTAAGCCAGCTCGGATAAGCCGGGCTCATAGGGGCCCTGTGAGCGACGCAGCACTGGGAGAGTGTGGCTGCTGTAGCAAATCCGTCCATATAGAGGGGCTCCTTGACTGGTGTACTGCCCCGGGTCAATCGCTCCAGCCTGAGCCCAGCTGTTATACGCACGAGCCTTCTCCTGACAGTGTTGTGAATAACGTCTGTGGGAACACAGAATAGTTTATGAATGGAAATTTTATAAACCCTGCCAAATAAATAATAAAATAAAACACTAAGGTCATTTTAAAGAAAATAAAAAAAAGAACTGGCAGCACCATAAAACTAGTCCATACGACTTGAGCAGGATATTCCAAGTCTTCTGAAGCCACACAATAGGAACAGACCGAATTATAAAGGTTTTTATTCACATAAAATCTTCCACCACATAGCTTTCAAATCTCATTCATGCTTACAAACACGCACATCTGCTAATTTTATGTTTTTGTCGAGTTTGTGGGCAACCTCAAGAGAGGTGATGTGATAATTGCGATAAAGCCACAGGGTGTTTCAGATGGTATGATCTGATCTGTCGTCTTCTGCTGTTGTTTGCTAGGTGCCATTGTTGTTGTTAACTTTTATGCCCATGGGGACATTTTGTTTCAATGAGTTTTAACATGCGTTCACACAAAAAACAATATACCGTACATAAATTAAATAAACAGTACATTTAAATAAAAAGGGCCATGGTGAATTAAAATAATGGCTACAAATAAGATGGATTTTGGAGGTGATTTGAAGCAGAATAGTACCAATGCATGATTTTAAGGAAAATGTAACAGCAATTTTTAATAGTTCACCAAAAACAATAATAATAGTTCACCAGAAAAAAAGTAATAGTTAACCCAAAAATTCAGATTCAGTCATCATTTGCTCATCAAGTTGTTCCAAACCTGTATTTCTTCATTCTGCTGAACACAAAAGAAATATTTTGAAGAATGTCGGAAACAAAACCACCATACTACATTCCCCCATTCTTTTGTGTTCGGCAGAAAAACAAAATGAAAAGAAAAGTGAAACAATTCGGGTGAGTAAGTTACAGAATTTTCATTTTTGGGTGAACTATCCCTTTAATATACTTTCAAACGTTATAGACCCCTTTTGCGCCGACGTCACAGTTACGTCACGGCGCTTGCTGGAGGCAAAACAAAGTGAAAACTGGAGGCGGCCAATGCAAACCAGCACAAATTTGGCTACATAATGATCTTAAAATACTTTTATTATTATTAAATGTCATCTTATTGTGTTGTTTGGTGCAAGTATCAATGAAAAATGAATATGCTGTATCAGGACTTTTTATTTCTAGAAAATATTTGATTAAAATCGCACCGTAATGTCACCCTTTATATTGTCGTCTTCTCTGCTCTGGCTCGGCAGAACTGCGGATCATACACACAAGTCTTGTAGGACCATTCAGCACATAGTTATAGGCATCTAAAGATTTATATGCCCTCAGTTTCTCTTTACGATCAGTTTCTCTATAAGGTAGGTGTAGAAGTCAGGCCACTCACCCGAGGTAACATAACGTTAATCCTGTCAGATCGTCCATGCATTGAGTGAGCGTGTGAAGGCTACGGGTCGGCCAATCTGGTTCTGTCCGTTAAAATTAACTTTTGAAAATAACAATCATTGTCCTGGACACTGAATGACCTTACACATTAAGATAAAATCTGATTTTCTCCAGTCATTGTTAAAAAAACAAGCTAATAAAACTTGCTAACTAGTAGTGAAGCGGCCAGAGGGATCGTTCTGCCTCCACCTAAGCTCCGCCCACATAAAAACGTCACCATGTTTACCAACTGAAAAGGGGTCTATAGTACGGAACAGAACAGTCAGGACATTACGCTAAACATCTCCATCATTCCATGGGAAGAAAAACAAAACATACATCCTTGAAATTACATTAGAGTGAGTGAATGGTGCCAGAATGTTCGTTTTGGGGTGAACCACCATTCCAAGTGCATTCAGGAAGTGTTTTATGAATGTGCAGGAGGAGTGAGTTGATGTAACAGATGTAGCCACACTCACATGTTCCTGCTGTCCAGGGTACGGTACCCCCTGCGAGCGTTATGTGGGGCGCTCTGCAGCGCTGTGATGTCGAATGCAGCCGTGTCGGCCTCACCTCCTCCTTCATCATCATACGTGATGATGTTCTCTCTTACATCATCCTCCTCTAAAGGCGAAAGCGAGTCCCTTTTCTGCCTGCGCAGAGACAGAGACAAAGCACTGACAGCTAGAGAGAGAGAGAGAGAGAGAGAGAAAGAGAGAGGGGGAAGACAGAGGCAAAGAAAACAGTGAGGTGAAGAGAAAAAGAGTGAATGTTTTATGATTCCATTTATAAAAATGGAGGACTTTTGTGTATGTGCTGGGTGACAAATTTTTGCAATAAAATTGCAGTGTGCTAAAGAAAGACTAACACTTACACAGGCTGGTGCCCCATAATTACTTACACAATACAGCTCTGGGAAATACTCAATTCTGATTGGTCAGTCACTGCATCTAGGGGTCTGATATTTAAATAAAAGTATTCAAATATTAATAATACTAATATTCACAGTCGTCCGTGACAAAGCTGTTTATCAGAGCACTCATCCGGGTGACTGAATTTGGCACTGCTTTCCCACACTGCACCTTTCATTAGCCTGGGTTTCCCCATGCTGTCTTTGTGCAGCGTGATTTTATTCACGCTGCTAGGCAGTCTGGATACCATAGACCAGATTTTCGCCTCACAGAACGGGGAGGGAGCAGCAAGACGATGATGACGTGACACAGCGAAGCAGTTTGTTTATACCTATGGATAAAACATGGCAGCAGACGCAAAGTTACCTTTCAAAGCAACCTTAGATACATACACCATCGTTAACACGCAAACCTCTGACCCTTTGTCTTCTTCTACATACATCATCTAGTATATTTGAAACGGTTGGCTATGAGCTACGTACAGGCGTATTTGATAGACATTCGTAGCACCCACTAAACAGATTTGGGTGTTCATCTTGTTGCTAAAGCTATTGTTTTGCACACTGTTGTGGACTATTTTTCTATATATTTTTTTTTTATTTTTACTATATATATACACACACTCACCTAAAGGATTATTAAAAACACCTGTTCAATTTCTCATTAATGCAATTATCTAACCAACCAATCACGTGGCAGTTGCTTCAGTGCATTTAGGGGTGTGGTCCTGGTCAAGACAATCTCCTGAACTCCAAACTGAATGTCAGAATGGGAAAGAAAGGTGATTTAAGCAATTTTGAGCGTGGCATGGTTGTCGGTGCCAGACGGGCCGTCTGAGTATTTCACAATCTCCTCAGTTACTGGGATTTTCATGCACAACCATTTCTATGGTGTAAAAAGATTGGTGTGAAAAGAGAAAAACATCTAGTATGCGGCAGTCCTGTGGACGAAAATGCCTTGTTGATGCTAGAGGTCAGAGGAGAATGGGCCGTCTGATTCAAGCTAATAGAAGAGCAACTTTGATTGAAATAACCACTCATTACAACAGAGGTATGCAACAATGCATTTGTGAAGACACACAACCTTGAGGCGGATGGGCTACAACAGCAGAAGACTCCATTGGATACCACTCTTCTCCACTACAAATTGGAAAAAGAGGCTACAATTTGCAAGAGCTCACCAAAATTGGCCAGTTGAAGACTGGAAAAATGTTGCCTGGTCTGATGAGTCTCGATTTCTGTTGAGACATTCAGAATTTGGCGTAAACAGAATGAGAACATGGATCCATCATGCCTTGTTTACCACTTTGCAGGCTGGTGGTGGTGGTGTAATGGTGTGGGGGATGTTTTCTTGGCACACTTTAGGCCCCCTAGTGCCAATTGGGCATCGTTTATATGCCACGGCTTACTTGAGCATTGTTTCTGACCATGTACATCCTCTGATGGCTACTTCAGCAGGATAATGCACCATGTCACAAAGCTCGAATCATCTCAAATTGGTTTCTTGAACATGACAATGAGTTCACTGTACTAAAGTCACCAGATCTCAACCCAATAGAGCATCTTTGGGATGTGGTGGAACGGGAGCTTCGTGCCCTAGATGTGCATCCCACAAATCTCCATCAATTGCAAGATGCTATCCTATCAATATAGGCCAACATTTCTAAAGAATGCTTTCAGAACCTTGTTAAATCAATGCCATGTAGAATTAAGGGAGTTCTGAAGGCCCTGGAAGGCCAGTCTCGGCGGGATGAGACTCTGGAAGGGTGGTTTTAAGGGGACGAGACTCTGGACGAAGATAGGAGGTGTGGCAATGAAGATGGCAGGTGATGGTGATCCAGGTATTGTTCGAACGTATCCGGAATCGCTGCTGCTGGAGCTTGCTGGTGCTGATGATCGTCCAGTCTGTACCAGAAGACAGTCTTTAGGACGCCATCTGCCCAGTCCACATGGTGAGAAATTGAGGAACCTCTCAATATATTTCTCGAGCAGTTGGCCTTCCTGGAAACAGGTTACAAGCCGATCTGCAGGATTCAGTAGGGTACGGAGAACGACCATTTTCTCCTTAAAGCTGCAGTAGGGAGTTTTGAGAAAACGTTGACTTAGCCTGAAAATTTGAACAAGCACAACTTACAGGTCCCACCCCCTTGCTCTCTGCTGCGCTACATCCCTCCCTCCACAGCGATGCCTGCCGTGAACTTGCCGGCTAGTAAGCAGGGTCACCGATAATGGCGAATAACCAGTCACTAGTACGGAGGAAGCATCAACAATATGCATTACACTGACTAAGGCCTGCCCATACTTTGACTACAAACTTGGTCCTCAAATCATTCTGTATTTTGCAATAGATAAAATCACAACGTAAAATCAGGCCTGTTCCTTTCTCCACTGTCGTCGCTCCTCCTTTATGCCTCTGCTCCTCCGTGAGAGATGTGAGACAGGTGAGGCTCACAGGTGTCGTTCATTATGACTCACGCCTCTGGCTCGTACCGCTCTCATGTCCCTGTCCCTCTACCTCGTCCTGCTCGCCACAATATTATTTCAGCAACATGAAAAGCCAGTGAATTAGCAGGTTTCAATTGTTACTTTGCACAGTGCGTGACATTTTATCTAAATGTCACACGGCTAGAGTTTTGACACTGAGTCAATGGGCTCTGTCTAATTCTTTCTTTTTCGCGTATTTATCGTCATCGTTTTTTTTCCTTTTACCCGTCTTTGTTTTATGAGCAGGTGCCACTCGAGAAATTGGCAGTTTAGGTTGTTTTCCGCCATTAGCACAGCTGCAGCACACCGGCAATCTTGAGTTTGGTTTGAATGACGAGCACTGTGCAAGAAAGAGCACAAGCGTGATTGACACTGCTAAGACATTCCTCCTGGCTCTGATTGGTTGTTTCTGACCGGGAGCGGTGTATTTCTGCAAATGGCAATAGGACCACTGGGAGGAGCCAGAGGAGCCTGTCAGTCAGTATATAATTACCAACTTTTTGGGTATGGTCGGTTCTTCTGTCAGGTTTTGGCTGCGTGAGGCACGTTCAGGAAGACTGATCAGGCTTAAACTCTATTTATTTACGAACAAGACACGTACCAAACTTAGCAAGCAGTATAAACAAGAACTGACAAGGGAGAACTGAATCTAGGGAGACTCGTGTCTGTGATGAGGATGATGACAAGAGAAACCGATTAACAAGGAAACACATGGTGCACAAACACAGAAGGCAAAACAAAGTCCAAGACAGTGACACTCCCTTTGCCATGTCAAAACTAGGTAAATATCTTTAATCAGTTTGATTCTTGATTACTTTGTCAACACCGTCAATTGTGTGTTAACACCGTTAGTTGTGTGTCAACACCGTAAGATGGAGGTTTTTATTTTTTTTAAAAAGCTTGGTTTTTTTTTGTTCAATTGAGGGTTCATACATTCAAACACCACACATCTTTTGTGCACAAAACTACTGATTGTATATTAAACATTAAAAAATTGGTAAACTAAATGAAGGTAATTTAAAATAGCTAATTCCAAAACAATGTAAAATAATATTACAACGTCTATACAATGCAATTTATCACTTAACCTTACTAAGGCACACCATTTCTACACACTTAAAGACTTCAGTGTTGTTGAATTTATCAAACACACACACACAAACATATTTTCATGTGTCAGACAGAGTTGACAAATATCAAGTTGTATAAATTGTATATAAAAGTCAATTTCTATAAAAAGTGGTAAAAAATTGTTCCTTTTCATGGTATGATGAGTCCTGTGTTTATGAAGATATCCAATTCAAATTAATGTAGTATCGATTTTTTTGTTTGTCAAGAATCAATTCTTGTCTCAAGAATCAGTGATATATAAATACAGCAGTAGCTTTTATTTTTACATTTTCTTCAATGTTCATTTAATTTGGTTTTAGTCATTTCTTTACATGCTTTTGTCATTTTTATTGTTTTTTGTTTTTATAAATATTTCTATTCAGCTTTAATTTATTTTTATTCCAATTTTCGTTTTAGCAATTTTAGTACTTCAACTAAAAACTTATTTTATTTCCATTAGTTGCCAAGGCAGGTTTTTCATCTAATATTTATTTCTATTTTATTTTGAAAATTATTTTTATTAGCTTTGATTTTAGTTTTAGTTGATACTGATACAGATAAAATCTATATAATCTATATTTGACCAACTGACTGTACATGATCCCTACAATATGGAAGCTAACACTAAACTTACCCAAAAGAGTGGCCACACAGGCTAAAATGGCCAGCAGGGCGGCAGTGCTGAGTCCAGGGGAGGGCAAGGAGGAGTGCTGTGGCAAACAAACTGTCTCCCTGTCCCACTCTGCCTCACTTTCCTTCTCTTTCTCTCCGGCCCGGGCTCCTCCTCTCAGACAGGGACATACGGACACCGTGACTGTCCCAGTGCTGGTCAAACCGGAGACCCCGTCCCTCAGGACCAGCGGGACGTAGAGTGTGAGGGAGGAAGATGTAGAGCGAGACAGTGTCTGCAAAGGTGACGCCAACACCAAGCTAGCAGTGGGGCCTAGAGAATGAGAATAATAGCAGAGAAATTGAAATACACAGACGCTTTTAGATCAAATTGAGCTCGATGGAACTTTAATTTAATTGAACTCAATTGAATGCAGTTTAACTCCATTGCTGCTCGTATAACATTTGTACAGACCAGTGAGTCCAAATGCAGCATAAATGCCAGAGCACATTTCGTCTCTGTGTGCCGGGAGAAGATAGATGTGGCAGAGAAGCAAAAGCAAACAATGGGGAAAACAAAGGAGCAGGGCACAAAGCAGCCACACAATGTGGTTGCAGACACAGACTAACGGATCAAGAGAGACGCCGATGCACACGGCTGGATGGGGGAAACAAATTGGGGTAGAAACTGCAAACCTCCACTCTCCCTGACGCTGAAGTTGAGGGCAGCGTTGGAGTCCGGAGGGATGTTGAAATGGACGGTGCTGTCATTTCCTCCCTCGTCTCTATCAATCGCCCGCAACACCTGCACCACCTGAGAAAATGAGATAGGGGAAAGATGGAGAGAGAGAAACAATATAAGGAGCAGAGCCAAAAGAGAGAAAGGATAAGAGAGGGAAAGATTAATGAAGAGAGAGGAGAGATTATAAAAATAAAGAACAACAACCTGATGCACATTTTAATCTCAGATATCAGGATTAACCTCGCCAGCACCTTTGCAAATGGGTGACTTGAGACTGATTAGCCAACACTATGCAGTCAAACAATAATGAACTCTGACCGAGTAGCGAGCTTGGGGAACACCCAAACATAGACACAGCTTTAGCATGTGCTCTGAAAATGAGGCGCTGACTCCAGAGATCCACTTAAACTAGAAATATTTACTCGATGGGCCTCTTTTTTGCAGTGCTCCCCACACACATTAGGGAAAAGTTCAAACAAAAATGAGCCGTGTGATGCAGATCAGAGCTGTGGGTTAGGCGGTTGTGCTGAGGCATGAAAAGGGGTGCAAAGAACTGCAATAAGATAATATCGTCATGTTAGTAGTTTTCTGAGTCTGACAAAAAACTTTCCTCCTCATAATGTGACTTGGGGTATAGGATGGTATGCAAGCTTCCAGTTAAATAAGCAAGCAGACATTTAGTAAAGGCTTTTATCCAAAGTCAATTACACAGTTCCCTAACAACATCAGAGTTCAGCTTTGCCATTACAGGACTAAATTACATTTCACGATATATTAAAATAGAAAACAGTAATTTTAAATTGGAATAATATTTCCAACGCATTCTCACCCCAAGGCGTCACCTTTGACCATGCTTCAATATTCGACGTTTTAGGCGCCCTTTAGCGTCACTTACATGACGCGATCCTACGGCGTCATCGAACTGACGCTAAAGGAAAGCGTCAGTTAGAGGACGCGGTTAGGTTTAGGTGTGGGGTGGGGGTAGGGTACACGCGATCCTAGGGCGTCATCTAACTGACGCTAAAGGGCGCCTAAAGCGTCAGATATTGAAGCATGTCTAAATGTTTCCCAAGGCGTCAGTTAAGTGACGCCTTGGGGGTGAGAATGGGCTGATATTTCAGAAGTTAACTGTTTTTTACTGTTTTGTACTAATAACATTTCAAAAATCGCACAGACTGTATTGTGAAGGTAGTGTAGTGGTCATCAAACATGGACGAGGAAAGACTGATTGTTAGTTTAGATTATGAACAAGTTCAGGAAAGTTAAGTTCAGGATTAAATAGATTTTATTGTCCCTAAAGGAAAATTACTATTATTATTAATAATAAAGACAACAGTTTTATGAGAAAAACATGTCTTGTCTGATGAAGCATCAAGGAAAACATTAAAATACCAGCCATGTGTTCTTATATTTATTACATTGCGAGTGCACAAAAGTACCTACATCTCATTTAAAAATTGTACTCCAGGATATCAAACTTGCCTGTAAGCACATTCAATGTTGTTCTAGTATGAACAAGGTTGATAATAACATTGATCAAGGAACTAATTGTCCTACTTTGAAATCACAATGCACTTTCACAATTACTGCTAGCTGCGAAAACAGCAAAATGATGAAGACAGGAGAAAGGACACAAGCTATGACAGCTTAACAGTTGCACCACATCCAATTAAGAATTGAAGAAAAAACATGAGTCAGCCAAAAGGGGGAAAAAAGGGGACAATATCATGGAGAGACAGGCACTCAAAATGAAGGGGAGGCAAAATGGATGAAAGCCAACAGACCAAAAGATGAGCAGATTATAATGTATATCTATAGAGAGGAGATGAGAAAGCTTGAAGCATCCGCTAAATGGGAACAGCAGTGATTCAGCTGCAGGGTAACGGCAGAACTAATCAATCAACGTGCAGGCTGTATAAATGGGCACACTCACAGATGTGTACAAAAAAAAAAAAAAAACCTTTCATGCACCACCAAATCTATATGAACACAAAGAGTGTGAGTCAGTGAGTCTAAAGGCCTGAAGTTTTGAGAAAAGGTAATTAATCACCCATAATTCATCTGTGAAAATTACCTCATTACAGAGTTTAACAAAAGGACTCTCATTAGAGCACTTCCTGTGCATTTACACTTCGGGTGGAGTAACAAATTATCAAGTCAATGGAGACAAGAACGACCTTCCTAGCACCCATTATAACACGTGGCTTGTTCTCTCACCTGTCCAGTGGAAGCGGAGTCACACATGGCTGTGTTGTACTGCCTATCTAGCTCTGGAGCATTGTCATTTAAATCCAGCGTTTCTATGGCAACCACCACTCTGGACACCTGGCTGGGGTTATCTGAGGTAATTGAGAGAGCAGAGAAAGCAAGTCACCAAAAATACACACGCACGACACGGACTGAGTGGCTTCTTGAGGTGTGCTCGCCATGAGCCTCGGACACTGAAGGTAAATTGTTCTCTTTTAAAGTTCATCACACATTTCCACATGCGCGTCCACTCACACTTTGAGAAATCATATGCTGAATGCTGACAATTTTCACACACTCATACGCTTTTACAAAGGTAATGAGCTGCCTACGGAAGCAGTATTTTAAGGCATTGTATTGCAAAAGGTAGCAGCATCACATGTATCCTTTGCAGACAATGCAATTTCATAATGCATTGCGGCAAACTGCGGGGAAAATACATTAAAGTCCCCATGAAATCAAAAATGATGTTTTTTGGCTTTTAGTATGAACATGTCAGTCTCACTGTTATCTATAAGCTCCATCTATGTGCTCCAAAGCAATGACAAAATTCACATTTAAAAGATATAAGCATTCAAAACAGTCTCTCACTTTTGCCAATATGGATCACTGATTTTGATGACATCACTCTGCACTTCAGCTTCTGATCAGATTTTCAACTGAAGCGAAACTACAGCGCCCCGCCCTCAAATAGTCGCTGAAGATTCAGCTAAAATTGGTCACTTGTTCACACATTTACTATTTTCTACAGGGTGGATGGCACATATTGCACTATATAAGGGGATAGGGAATGATTCAGACAAGCCCGATCTCATGAAAGTTCGTATCTATAGCACAAATGTCATTTCTCATGTAATTAAAATAGACCCACATCATCACACACCTTCCACCACACCTAGAGATTGGCATGGGGTACTTTCTATAAGATCATCTTTCAATGCAAATCAGTTAGCTATTAGGCTAACTGAAGTAAAACCATGCCAATCTCAAGGCATGGTGAATGGTGTGTGATGATGTGGGGATATTTTAATTCCAAAGGCCAAGGGAACTTTATCAGGATGCATATTATCATGGATCCATGAAATAACTGGCTTTTAAAAATAAAAATCTGCCTGACTGTGAATTCCCTGATGGGAATTTAACATAGGGGTGTCCTGACTTATGCACCCTGTATTTTAAGGAAAAACATTTATTTATTTATGAAAACATGATTCATTCACAAAGAAAATTTGTGTCCTTAAAGGTTGGAGTTTTCCTCATTTTTCTAATTAAGGCATTAAGATCAATATCCAAAACATGATGTTTTATTCCTCTTTTTAGGCAACTTTAGCATGGGTGTCCAAACTTATTCACATCACTGTGTGTGCGAGTCGGTGCATACCAGAAAAAGTATCAGATGTAACGGAGAAACAGTAAGAGATTAGGAGGAAACAGTGGCTATACCAAGCTCAACAGCTCTGACCAGGCTGTGATCTAAACTAATCGCTATTGGCTATTTAAAAAAGGGGAGGAGCTGTTCGACATGTCCTGCCTTGTCTTCCTGTTTCTGTGGAAATGAGAAATCCATAATAAAGGCTAGATGTCTTATGGCAGAGTCTCTATCGTCATCACCGTCGGCCATCTTGTCACAGGCAAGCTGGTGTAAGATGAGTCATCAGCACAAACACAAATACTCTTATCTCGTTGAAATCTTGACGGATTTACAAACGGTTTGGTTTCTGGCAAATGTTATTAACGTGGCTATAATTCTGGATGGTTATTTATTTATTTATACACTTATTGTTCATAAGTATGCAGTGTCAGAACTACATCTCTGACGTTTACAACAAACCAAACCGTTTGAAAATCGATGTAAAATTGAGCAAGTTATGGTTATATAAAAAGTACATGCACCATTAAAACACATGTTATGAGTGATTGAGCTGCCTGTGACAAGATGGCCACCAGGTGAAGACGTCGACCTCCATTGGCCAGTATAGCGTAGACGAGACATCTAGCCTTCATTATGGATATCTATGGAAATGACGTCAACACATTGAATAATGCTGTGCGTATCAAGGCACTTCATTGGTTCTTTAAAAATGTATCCACGTAGAAGAAATGTTAAGTATAAATAAATGTATATTTCATATGATACAGAAATGAATCTGTAGGATTAAAAATAATCCAAGACATTTGAAATGAACTTTACTGTGTTTCACCCCTTCTTTCAACCACAAGGACCATTTAGAGTTCCCAAAGACAGAGATGGGCTGATCATGATCAAGATATGTGTACTTCGAGGGTCAATGAATTGTCACACCTTTAGAACAATAGGGGAAGTGTAATTATCTGATTGGCCATTTTGAATGTCTCACAATTGGATTTTAGTCACATGGTCAGGGAAAGGATAAAAGAAGACTATAACTGTTGCTCTGTCTCTTTTAATACTCTGCTTTTTTATGCTTTGGCACTCTCCCTTACTTGGGGATCCTCATTTCTCTCTCTCCCTCTCTCTCTCTGGTAATATTTTACATGCTGGGTAAGATTATTGGTATAAGTTCTCATCATCTCATACATTTATTTTGTAACTATTTTAAGTGTAACCATAACCATATTTTGTCATTAAACCTTTACAGTTACAACTAATGTGCCAACTAGTTTTTATTTGGTATCGACTTTTGGTATTGACTACATATTGCAACACAATACTGTCCCTCTCTAGAGCAAAGCTCTCCCACATATCAAGCTATTGTAACTGCACTTATTTCCTTCTTTGGTATAAGTGGCCGTGGGTGGAATAGACAAGAAATGTACCGTTTTCTACCATCTTGCTGATAATGTTTCTTTAGTCATTCGGCAGTCTTGTAGCCTGAACCCCTGCAGAAAATCCACCAAATCTATAAAAAATATTGGACCCACTGTGTGACTTTTTTATCTAAAAGATTTTAGAAAAATTTTACAGCATTTTAGTCTGGCTTTCTTGTATTGTCCTATAACTCTGAACCCTCAATTTTTATGATTTTAGTAATTGCTTATTTGCAGTATATTAATAATCAATCATACCATTTTTATTACTATTGATTGAACATTTTTAATGGTATTGTTGAAATGTATATGGGTCTATTGCATGGTCTTGTCTGTGGAAATGTGCTATATAAATAAAATAGGATTCCGGCAGTTACTTTTCATATTCTAGATGAATGGCTTGTCATGACAAACAAATAGCTTTCAGTAGTTTTTAATTCAGAATTGATCGGCATATTGGTACAGTATACGTTGAACAAACTTAATGGATTGGTGTGAGCCTAAAGAGAAATTGAAGCATTCTGTCTTTCTTGCTATAATTCAGTCCCACACACTTGTCTGTGGTTTGGACTGCTTTCACACAAATGTCTTGGACTGCATCCACACGCACACACGCACATACGTACACATACACACAGCTGTGACATGATGTTGTGGATTAGTGCCCACTGCTTCACATTACTGGGAAGAGGCTTTGCCTATAATAGCCATCAGGCCCTCCCTGAAGCGGCTTAGACCTACTTTCCATACTGTAACACAGAGGCATAGATCATCTACTAACATGCTAACTCCCTGAGCAGTGCAAATTCAATGTACGTTTAAACCATGTTTAATCCATGCATGCATTAAGATCATAAATAAAAGATCAAAACACAAATCCATTAAATATCTGCTAGTAATTTTAGCCAGAAATATTGCTTCTTTATACAAATGAGAAATGGCATGGACATTTTCAACCATTATTATGAATTATTGAGCTAATAAACAACATGCAATTTCCAGGTCACTGTATTTTGGGAAGTTATGAACTATAGAAAAAAATAAAAATAAATAAATAGTGCAGCTTTTCCAGTAACAATCTTCTTTTGAAACATGTAGCGGTTCATCATGACAAATCACTGTTTTTATTGTCAAATTATATTGCGCACACAGCTGACAGCCGAGCAAACTGAGGCACTGATCTAATGTGCTCTCCTGAACCGTATTCTCTCTCAAATGTAGTCATTTTAGTGAATTAAACTTGAAAGGTATTTAAAAAGACTAATTGAATATAACTATTTCTCTATAAAAAGAAGCAGTGATTCTGCACAAACACATTTATCAGTGAAGCGTTTCAACAAGCCAATTCAAAAAGAAAGAAATCATTGATCCATGCCTCTGTGCAGCAGTGTTAACTAAAATGTTTTAATTGATTGAAATGAAGTGGAAATAAATAAAACACAAATATTGGATGGAAGGAAAAACTTAAAAAACTAGAAAATTATAAATGTTGCCTTGGCAACTAACTGAAATAAAACTAAATAGAAATAAAATGACAACTATTAAAATAAAGGCTAATTCAAATATGAATGAATACTGAATTACTAAAAAACAAAATTATAAAATCTAAGCTAATCACAAGTACATAAATAATACTATAATAATTCTGCTGTGTCACAGCATTTTTTATTTTAGAAATATTTAGCAATATTCTAGTTATATTGAGCTATATTCTCTTTTTTGTATTAAACTTTGTTCAAGTGTCAACCTAAACAAGATTTTTTTTTATTTACAGATTCAGAAACTTCTGAGCTCTGATTAAATTATATAAATGGATATTTATCCAATTATACATGTATAACTTGATAACTAACTAGCTTCATTACAGTTAGCTACTTTTTTTGTAGCTAAATGCTTCCCTGTCACTGGGACAGTGTGTGTGTACCTCTCTGTGTAGCAATAATAGTGATATTATGCCACTGTTCATGCTCTCGGTCCAGCTCAGTCACTGTAGAGATGAGCCCAGTGTCTGGAGTGATCCGGAACAGAGCTTCTGGGTCAGACTGAGGATCGATAGAGAACCTGAGGGAGAAAGAAGACAAATGGAGAAGGAGAAATGTGTGGCATGATGAGCAGGTGAGCATGCATAAAGCCCTGGTTAATCAGAAAATCTGTCATTCAGGAGCTGTTTTAAGCCCAGCGGCGTGAATCAAAAGAGCCGTAATTAGCAAAGTGAGAATCCTCAGATCCCTAACTAGGCACTGTTGAAATAACTGTAGATCACTGGGATGGATCTTGATCATTGGCTTTTCCATGTGGAGGCAAGCAAACGTGCCTTGTGGTATGAATACCTTAATTTCCGTGATAATGTTTTGAAGTGTTTTTACATGGAAAACAGAATAGCATACAACAATAATTAATGACATAATGGCTCTGCTCCAAACTCTAATGAGCTGCCTACCCGGACATGTGCTTTAGGTACTCCAGGTTAGTTCCTGATGGGAAGGCTGTTCCAAATCACAGGCAGCAAAATTATGGTGCCTTTTTATATTCCTCATTATAGAGCCAAATTTTAAGGTTTTATTTATCTTTTGTGGGAAATACACTGCAATGGGCTTCGTGAATATTTTCATCCCAAACAGTGCACAGTGCCATTTTATTCAGAAATTTGTATTCAGAAGTATTGATAAATACTTTTACCTGGACGTTCAGTGTATTGATCAAATTTAGCTTGTACACCAGTGGTTCACAACCAGGGGTCCGGGGGCAAGATGATTTAAAATGATATTAAGCTAAGATAACTAAAGATTAAGATACTTCTTCAACAGCTGGTATTTGTATTTATTTTTTTCGTCTCTGAAGAACCAAGATTCCCACAGTCTTTAAACCCCTTGATATATGAGGTGGCTTCATTTGGAGTGATTTGTACTTGGACAAGTAATGTAAATTACTAAAATCTTAAAAACTCGGTGGGCAATTTTATAATCCATACATTTTTTTTATATTTAGGAAGAAATGGTGAGTAAATATTTCGAAAAAAAATCTTTAAAATCCTAAAACAACAATTTCATTGGGCTTTTGAACATTTTCTTGGACAATGAGGAGGCTAGTAATCAAAAAGGTTGAGAAGCACTTCTGTTCATTGGAAATAATTTGCTATAGTAACAATTTTCTCTCAGAATTTGCTAGTAAAGTAATCACCAAGTAACACTGAATTAAACGTGAAACCTTGAGGTAGAATAACTGAAATAGAATTTCTTGTCAAATGTACTCCAATAATAAATAAACAATTTTTTACAGTGTACCTGATGTTGTTTGTGAGCCCCGTATCTGGGTCCACGGCACTGATCCGCCCCACTGTACACGCAGCTGGGCAGTTCTCAGACACATCCATTCGGTAACGTGCCCGTGAGAAACGAGGGGGCTCATCGGCATCTATCACGGCCACTCTGATCGAGGCACGGTCTTTGAAAGGCCCACGCCGCAGGAATCGAGGGTCAACGATGGGATTCAGAACCTCCACTGAGAAAGAGTAGGAGCTACGGCTCTCATAGTCCACCGCCTGTAGATCAAACAAAAACATCAATATGAACATAAACCTTATGACAAGACTGCATTGCTCATACTGCCCACATGAGCTCAACATAGCACACACTAACTGTTATTATATTATTAAATGGGTCTATTGGGCATCTGCACAAACCAGTAAGGGGCAGAAACAGCAGTGTGGCTATTTTTAACTAAAACTATTAAAATAGTTGTTTTTGTTAAATGAAATAAAATGTAAATATTAGATTTAAAAAAATGATGATGTAAATATTACATGAAAAAATTATTAAAACTGAAATAAAAATAAAGCTAAATATTTTTTTTAAATGCACATATTGTAGATACTGTAACCACTACCATAATTACTAAAACAAAACATAACATATTTACTAGAACTGTATTTGAAAAAAAAAATTGTTAAATATTTTAAGAATTATTGTTTTAAGACAACAACAAAGCAATGACTAACAATAGTTATTATATAAAATATATTAATATAATAATGTATACACAAACACACACACACACACACACACACACACACACACACATATATATATATATATATCCATCCATTGGCTATAAAATGTGAACTTAGCTATGATAATTCAAATGTATATGCTTTTGGTGATGTTGCTTGTTTTCATATATGTTTCTATGAGAGCAACTGCATGACCTGGAAAGGCTGTTAAATTACATTAGTTACCAGACACTGATGTGATAGTAAATAACAAACAAGCCAGTTTGCTGGATGGCTGTAAAAAATACAATGCTGTTGAAAATGAGGTGCCGATGAATCTTTGACATCCAATTGAAACTTGGAATGAGCAGTAAATAAAAGTAGATCGATCTGACTTATCAATCAAGCTGTCAACACCGCAAGATAGTGCTGTCGAGTTGCTTCTTACAATTATCCAGGTCCAGGGCGTAAACATCAAACCGACAATGACTTTGCTTTTGAACTACAAGCCACTGTATGGTATTTCAAAAACAGCATTATCTGACATTCAATTACGTTTTGTTTTTTTATCTCTTGGGAAAAAAATGCAATCCTGCTCTTTGATGAGGATGGCCATGCTAATGCAGTAGCAAGGTCCAGGCAGCATTTTTGTGACAAGTCTTGGGATCTGAATCTGGCACTGGGAGGGTTGTGTGGGAAGCTGGCACACCAGGAATGGGTAATGGGCTGATTTTGGCAAGAATAGCTGGACAGGGGCTGAAGGAAGTCAGAAACGACTGGACTGGCATATATGACCACACACACACACAAGACCAAGTTGAGTTTGGAAGCAGTCAGTGGGGCACACAATGTGTTTGGCCTCGATTTCAGGCTGAAGGACAGACTGAAATGAGCTGAATTAAACTGAGCTGACTGAAGGACATCAGGTCACTATGGACACTTCAAATGTTTGCCACGTTCTGTCTCACCAGAGTTGGACTCTTGATCTTGAGGACTCTCATAAACATGGTCTGAGACTCATTACTTGGTATCTTGGCTTGAGTCTCAAAAAAACAACAGCAAATGGTCTTGGTTTATAGATACCTCTAGAAGGCATTCATAGGTGATAATTACCTCAACCGAAGATCGCTGAATTAAACAAAGAATTAGAAAAAGAAAGAAAGGAATACCAGTTTGGAAAGACATGGTGGTGAATAAATGCTCCCTTTAGTTTACACTGTAAAGCCTGACAATAAAAATGTGTAATTTTTAAAGGAACAAGATTTTAAACATTTAGACAAATATATATATATATATATATATATATATATATAGCATCATATTTTATGATATAGGAGAAAATATCAAGCTTAAAAACAAAAAAAAATATGCAATTTGGTAAAGTTGTTGATATTCATATAGCCAAAAGGTCAGGTGAATACTGATCGTTTGTAGTCTAAGTCAATTTGTCACTCTTTATCTCCCAATAATAACAAAAGAAAAGCCTGATCATGTTTGATACTCACGTTTAAACAGGATATTTCAAACAGACAACAACAAAACAGATGTATTGTTAATCACGTACACCTAAGTTGCAATATAAAAATAATTTGTGTGTTTAATTGAAATTAATTTTTCACAGCAAAAAAGACACATGTACCACAGTCTGAATGTGGACATTTTTAGAATTATACAAAAAGCAATTTACACGGTACAAAAAAAAGTCAATCAGATGGAAGAAAACGTGTGGCAGATTATGTGCAACAGGATTTTCAGAAAAGTGTTGATCATTGTTTTTTTATCATTTAGAGGCCTTAAAAATGTGTGTATCAAATATGATACAGTAGGATTTATAGGATTGACAATTATGCTTTAAATCATTAATCTCTCACATTTCTTCTAAAACAGCTTGTACCATGTCTGCAGGCATTTGCTCCCATTGCCAGTAAGGTCAGGCACTGATGTCTGGCACAGAAGTCTGCGTTTCAATTCATCTCAAAGGTATTCAGCTGGGTTCAGGTCTGGGCTTTGTGACAGTTAGTAAGGTTCATCCATACGAGACGCACAAAATCATTATTTAAGCACTTTGTGCACAGTGACATTCTAGTACAAAAAAGTGTGGCTTTGCGGTTCACTCTAAAACGTTGCCACAAAGTTGGAGGCACACAACTGTCTGAAATGTCATTGTGCCATAGCATTGAGATTTGTCTGTACTGTCTGCAACAATATATGTGTACACAGCTCAAAAACTTGGGGTCAGCAAGATTTTAAAATAATAATAAAATAATAATAATAATTTTAGGATGCATTAAATTGATCAAAAGAGACAGTAAACACATTTATGTTACAAGAAAAAAAAAATGTATTTCAAAGAAATCCTGTTCTTTTGAACTGTATATTCATCAAATAATCCTGGAAAAAAATGCTTCACCGTTTCCACAAAAAAATTAAGCAGCAACTTTTTTCAATACTGATAATAATAAGACATGTTTCTTGAGCACCAAATTATATTATAATTATATCTGAAGGATCGTGTGACACTGAATACTGACGTAATGATGATGAAAATTCAGCTTTGATCGCAGCAATAGATAACATTTGAAAATATATTCACATATTTAAATGGTAATAATGCATCTATTCTTACTACATTTTTATATAAAAAAAATGTAGCCTTGGTCTGAATTTGGAATTTGTAGCCAAAAAAAAAAAAATTGTTTGGCCTTCTTTCGATAACATTTGAAAAAACCTTATCAAACCCCAAATTTTGAATGGTAGGCACCATTAAGTCCATATTACATTTTGCTATGAATCTATAAACTGAAACAAGAAAGATTGTAGATTAAAAATCACTCTGTGGGTAGGGGTCAGTTGAAGGGCACCGATATTGAAATATAAACATGCAAAATAAAAACATAAATGAAGGTGAGAAAGAGCAAAAGAGAAACAAAAAAGGGACAGAGAGTCAAGCCAAGAGAGTAGAGGAGGGATAAATGGAGAGAAAAGGTTCCTAACAGGATCCCATTAGAGGCCGAGAGAGACAATCTGTCTGAGGAGGAGAGATGTCACTTACACTGTGAGCACACACTCATCACCCCATCCCTTCCTCTCTCACATACTCAATCACTCACTCTCCCTCCATCCTTCTCTTCTTTTCTTATCCCATCACTCCATCACACGCACAACACCACTCCTAGAGAGAAGCGGTCTGAGAATACACACTCGTGTCTGTTTATAATAAACCTTACCTGGCTGAAAAGACCAGACTGAAATGAATTCACAGGCTGGTTCATGCTAGTTTTATGCTGGTCTAGCTATGGGACTATAATTATTTGTATGTTTATTTATAAGATGCTTTTTATCCAAAGTTTAGTTGAGGGTTGAATCTCCTCCTCTCTCTCTTGTTCCACTTTCCAGTTTTTCTTTTAAATGGCTCTCTAGTGAATAGCAATTACGGAATTAATTAGGCTCTCTATATGGTCCACTGTTCGGCTATACTACATTACACTATATTATTCCATAATACCGTTTGGCAGATCATAACTTTTCAAGCATTTGATCTTATGAGAGATATGAAATGAGGTAGATGGTAAGATGTTTCTATTTTTAGAAATAGGTATTTTATGTTCACCAAGGCTCCATTTAATTGATAAAAAAATAACAGTAATGATAACAAATATTATTACAATTACTAATTTTATACATCTTAAAATGTGATTTATTCCTCTGATGCCAAAGTTGAATTTTCAGCATCTTTATGCCAGTCTTCAGGATCAAATATTATCGAACATTTCTTGTCAATGTTGAAAACAATTGTGCTGCTAATTATTTTTGTGGAAACAGTGGTTGCTTTTAATTTGATTATCTGATGAATAGAAATATAAAAATATAGAAATAATCGCATTTATTGGAAACATTATGCATGTCTTTACCATCACTTTAGATAAATGTAATGCATCCTTACTGAATAAAAATATTAAATAAAAAAAACTGTATGCAATAGTATATAGGAAAACAAAGAAATTATTTAAACCAACTGCATCTATATACTGCATCACTTCCATAACTATTTGATGAGGGATAATGATAATAATAATGTACCTCCAATAAAATGCACCTCATAACTTATTATAACTCATAATAAGTCATAACCCAAATAGTTAAATAGTTATTTATAAAGAAATAAAATTATACATTAAATCACCAAGAGAAAAACAGGCTGAGAGAGGGCTAAATTGCTCAACAACAAAATCAGTCTGTCTCCATTTCACCCTGATACAAACAGTAAATAATGCCGTCATTTACTTGTGAGGCCATATATCCCAGGTTGATATTTTTATCTATTCTCTTTGTGAATTCCTGATGTCTCCTTGTTTCTCTTTCTGTGCATACACATGTTGTCTCTGTGCTTGAAATACTCGTCCCCTGCATGTCTTTTGTGAGCGTGCGTGCGCATGTCACCGCATTGAATGTTGACAGGCAGTCTTGAATCAGTGTGTCTGCCTGACACCTGATTCACAACTGCTCTCGCTGTCTCTCTTGTGTTTTAATACGACTCTGGGGCGTTAAGCCCA